CCTTTTGTTTATCATTTTTGGTCTGGAGAGCAAGTTTTAGAGTCTTCTGAAATCTATTTTGGACTTGTTTGCTTTCTTCCTATATGATGTTCTTGATGTCATCCCACAACTCTTTGTAGTACAGGGTTGGCTTTGGCAAAATCCCTAAGTTTCTGTTTATCCTGGAATGTTTTGATTACACCATCACATTTGATTGATAGCTTTGCTGGATAAAGGATTCTTGGTTGGTAGTTTTTTTCTTTCATGGTTTTATATATGTCTCTTCATTGCCTTCTTGCTTGCATGGTTTCTGCTGAGAGATCCAAGCTTAATCTGACTTGCTTGCCTTTGTATGTAACACTTCTGTTTTCCCTAGTTGCTTTCAGGAGTGTCACCTAATCTTTGATTTTGGACAGCTTGATTATGATATGTCTCAGTGATTTTCTGTTAGGGTCTATCCTTCCTGGACTTTGTTGAGCTTGTTGAATGTTTATCTTTTTACTTTTCAGGATGTTAGAGAAATTTTCTTCCAGCAGTTCTTTAACTATTTCCTCTGTGGACTTGTGTGATTCTTCTTGTCTGGAATGCCGATAATTCTTAAGTTATTTCTCTTCATGTTGTCCTTTTTCAGTTTTTTTTTATCCTTTTTCCTGTTTGCTCTTTTATCTTAGTTGTGTTGAGAGATTTGTCTTCTAGCTCATTGGTTCTGCCTTCCATCTCTTCTATTCTGCTCCTTTGCCCTTTCAGAGTATTGTCAATTTCTGATATTCTATTATTGATCATTTGGACTCTTTCTGTAGGTTTTGAATTGTTTCCAATGCTGTATCTCTCTTATTTGATTGTTCTTGTAGCACTTTCCTGACGTCTTCTATATTTTTCTCAACTCTATTGTAAAGTGTTTTTAAACATTTTATAATCATTTTTCTGAATACCTTCTCAGGCATTTCCAAGGCCTGCCCTCCTTCCAGAATATAGTCCAGGTCTAGCTCTAGGTCATTTGTCTCGGACATTTTATCTTGTTTCTGGACATGTGCTGATATGGTCATCTGCTTTTGCTTCTTGGACATGTTTAGTGTTTATCTGTGGCCTTAATACTTAATTGGATGTGTGTTTTGGTACTTTTTATGCTTTCTGATTGCTTCCAGGTAGATGTGATCAGGATTTGGGCTTCCCTTTTCACTCTTCTTATTGCTTAACTCAGAGTAACTTTCACAGGTGTTGTCTGCCTCCCTGGTATATGGCAATTGGTATTGGTTCTTGCCTGGGTTTTGGTGTTCTATAGAGTGTGGTTGTAGTTTGAGTATATGGCAGCAGTTGCTGTCTCTTCTTGGGTAATATAGGGAGAGTAAGAACCCCCCAAAGGTAGAAGGGGAACATACAACAGCAAAACAGCACCAGAAAAAAAAAAAAAAAAAAGCAACAACAATGACAGAAAGACAAAACTAGACTGAGTACTGTAGTCTATAATCACAGAAAAGGGAGAGGAGGGAGAGAGGAAAAAAAAAAATCTGTTGCCTAATATGACTTTAATGTCCTCTCTTCAGCTTCTTGTCTTCAAAGCTGCCTGAGAGATTTCAAGATGCCACTGTTGGCTGTTATGCTGTACCTCAGGATTTAATTTAATTTTCGTACTGTTTTGTTTTAAAACTCTCTTTCCCTTTCTACACCTGTCCTGGCCTTTCCTGTATTAAAACAAAACAGTTCAGGGCCTACTCTTGGGCTGAGTGTATCTGTGCGCATACATGACAGAAGAACCCACCAGTGGTGAGGGTGAGGGTGTCCACTCGCTCAGTGTGGTGGGCAGGGGGAGGAGGGACAATGAACAGATACAAACAAACAAAAAAAGAAAATCAGAACAAAGCAAAACTGACAAAGTATATTGTCCACCTTTGCTTCAAGGTTCCAGTGGTGTTTTTCTGTGCTGTGTTTGCTCCCCCCCACTTGGTCCTGCCGTTTGGTTTTGCCCAAGTTGTTGGCAGATTCAAAAGTACGCAATTTCTTAGTTTTGCTACAAGTTCCACTAGCTATAAGCCTTCAAACCTTTTAAATATTCCTATCTCTGTGGTTCCGCATTTTGGAGCTCTGCCCTGGATCTTTTTTGCCTGGTGTTCTGTGGTATTGCTGACGGTGAACTTCACTGCACCTCCACCCTAGCCGCCATCAATCCTCATCCCACAACTTGTATGAGCTTCAGTTAGTAATGTCTAATGCATCAAATCTGTTCTTGAGATGATCTCTAAATTCAGGTGAGATATGTTCAAGGTCATATTTTGGCTTTTGTGGACTTATTTTAATTTTCTTCAGCTTTAGCCATAACTTGTGTGTGAGTCGTTGATGTCTGTTCCAAAGTCTTCCTCTGGCCTTGTTTGGCTGATGATGTGGAGCTTTTCCACCATCTTTTCCCTCATATGTAGTCAGTTTGCTCTCTGTATATGCCATCTGGTGAAGTCCATGTGTATAGTCGTCTTTTATGTTTGCTTGAAAAAGGTATTTGCAATGAATAAATTACTGGTTTTCCAAAATTCTATCATGTAATTTCCAGCAATGTTTCTATCACCAAGGCTGTATTTTGTAATTATTGATCCTTTCTGTTTGTTCCAACATTTGCATTCCAGTTACCAGTAATTGTCATTACATCTTGATTTTATGTTTGATCAATTTCAGACTGAAGAAGTTGGTAGAATTCTTCAGTTTCATCATCACTGACTTTAGTGGTTGTTGCATAAATTTGAATGATTGTGGTGTTAACTGTTCTTTCTTGTAAGCCTATGGATAGGGTATTATCCTATAATAGAATGCGTTATACTTCAAGATCGATCTTGTAGTCATGAATGCAACACCATTACTCTTCTATTTGTCAGCTCTGACATAGTAAGCCATAGAATTGTCAGATTCAAAATGGCAAGTACCATTCCATTTCAACTCACTAATGCCTAAGATATCAAGCTGTATCTCTTAAAGCTTGATGTCCCATTTCATTTTGACAACTTCTAATTGTCCTAGATTCATATTTCATAAATTCCATGTTCTGATTATTAATTAAATATTATAGTTGTTGTTTCTCTTCATTTTGAGTTGTCATCCAACAGCAGAAGGTTCTGAAAGATTTACTCCATTCATATCATCATGGCCACCTCTGCTTTGAAGAGGCAGCTCTTTTCCCAGTCATATTTGAGTGCCTTATAACCTGAGGGTCTCATTTTCCTGCCCTGTATCTGACAGTATTCTGAAACTATTCATCATGTGTCAGTATTCAATATTCTAGTGCTTTCTGGCAGTGTTCCTCAGTTATTCACAAGGTTTATGTGCCCTTTACTTCTAATGGTTGCATTCTATGGTCAGATTCATTTTACTTCCACACACTTAGGTCGTTGTTTGTTGCTCATAGAGATGATCCTATTATTCCTTTGCAGGTAATCTGTGTCTGAGAGAACTATTCACAATATCATTTAACAGTTCTTATGAATTTTTTAAAAAGAACCTTTGATGTAATGTGTCTGTCTTCGATTTTTTTTTCTTTTTCTTTTATGTGTGGTTATCACATTATTAACCTTTTCAACTTTTTTTAATTCTGGAAATTTCCTCATCATTCCATTTTCAAATCTTATTTATTTGGAAATTCTTTTCTTTCATTATGAGATTCCTTTTATATGAATGTTGACAGGTTTACTTTAATCATTTACTTCATTATCTTCTGTCAATCTTTCCATCTCTGTATCTTTTCCTGAAGCACTCCAGGAAAATTCTTTTACTTAGGTTGTTCTTCTGAGATATATGTTATGCTGGCCAACTTATCTGTTGAGAACTTTATTTCAATAATTATATTTTTATATGTTAAGTCTCTGTTTAGTTCCTTTTATAATTACTTGTTTCTGCTTGGTGTTACTCAAATTCTTATTTTTCTTGGGACATATTTATGCTTATTCTAATTCTTGTTCTGCCTACTCTGTTACTCTGTTATTTTTGTCTTCTCATTCATAGGTCATATCATTGTATGTAGTTCAAGATATATGCACAAAATATATGTACTTTTCAGGTCTCACTTAATTTTTGTTTGTGAGTTCATCTCTTTGTCCATTAAGCTATAAGTTGCTTTGTCAAGTAATGTCTCTTGGAAAAGGGCAAAACCTAATTCTAATATCTGTTTTACCAGGTGAACTATATCTTTTGTAATGTCCTGTTAAAAAATTAGCTTTATGTTTTGTATAGTGGAAAGAGGAAAAAGTGCATTTAGGGACCATGCAACTCATTTGTCCTCCTGATTATTGGCTTTCCATTCTCTCTGGAACTTCAGAGTTACCTTGAGTTTACCTTTCACTATTGCTTTTTTGTAAAGGAAGAACAATATGAGGCAATGAAAAGTCCACAGCCAAAAAGACTCTCCTTTAACATATCCTTGTTTTTTATACTTCAGGCTACAGTTTACTTCACACTGAATTCTTGCCAACCTCTGTCCCCCTTAGGGTGTCCTCAAAGATTTTGTGTTAATTTACAAGTACTTCTCTGAGAGCTGGCACCTTCCCATCTCTTGGTATGCAAGCCAGCAATGTATGCTAGTTTGTATGCTTTTCAAGAACCAAAATTTCATTCATTTTGGAAGCTTGAGTTTAAGCAAAATATAAAACTGTAATTTTATTTCATATATTTCATTGATTCTGTTTCATGAGAAGTAAAATTGAACTAAGGAAAAATAGATCCAAGCAGAGTCTTTAAAGAGAATCTCAGGAAGATTACCTTATCTCCTGAATGTGAAAAGAAAAGCATGGGAGAACTTAAACTTTCATTTTTTAGAGTATATAGAATCTATTAGAAGTCTGTCCACTTAACATACGTTTCAAGGTTCCAAAATTAATCTGCTTTCTGTTTTCAGGAAAATTTGAAATATAGGACTTAATATCAAATATGAAATAATATACACTGAAGAAAATATCTCATTTTATCAAACTGAAGATTGTTTACTTAAGGTATTTTTTTGACATCTGAACCCAATATGTTTAGGTGTTTTGCTTATGTTATAATAGGTTCAAAATATTGCCAGAAGTTCTATATCGTATCCCCATGCTTGAAACAGTTTTGGTTAGTAATAATCAGGTTGCATCTGTGGATCCTCAGAAGATAAAATTGATGGAAAATCTGACTACATTGGACCTTCAAAATAATGACCTTTTACAAATCCCACCAGAGCTTGGGAATTGTGTAAATTTAAGGTAACTATGTTTTTCTCTTTGGAGTTTTTTCATTTGATTTGTTAAAAATCGTTTTTTTCTTGTTGAGGTAATCTTGAAGGAATTTGAAGTAACAAATTAAAGATCCTATTTAAAATAATAAGTAACAAAACCCAGAATCCTAATTCTGACTTTAACATTTTACCAAATGTATTTTTTAACTTTGCTTATATGATGGGACTTCTGAACATTTGTGGAAAAATTCCATTATCTTTTAATTCCATTTTTCCATGAAATTTACAAAGCCCTCTTACATGATACGTGTGTAAATATAGTAACTGTTTTGTTCTAGTAGCACTTTTTTCATCAGTATGTATACTTGTGCCATGAAGTTTTACTGCATAGAAGTTTTAGGGAAATGCAAACTCCTTAGCTTTGCATGCAGAGTTTTTCAAAATCTGACTATGAACTGCCACTGTTCCATTTTAAGCCCAGCATAGTCTTTCTCATGCTTTGAATTTGCTATTCCCACAACCTGAAATGACTTTACCCTGTTGTCACCAACAGTGTACTTTAATATCACCTTTGAAAACCTTCCTGATTCTCCAGGCAGAGTTAATCTCTTGTGATTTCCCACAAATGTTTGTTTGGACTAAATTGTAACATGTTTTTGTCTTCCTTTAGAAAAAGTTATCCCAGTATCTGAATAGAGTAAAGTCCCAATAGCTACTTATTAAAAGAATATAAATGGTTTGGCATTTTCTGCTTTATGAAAGTATCAGCACTGGTATCTGCTCTAGTAACTTATAGTAGTAAATTAGAGGAGGCAAGTAAATAACTCATTTTCCTAGACATTAAGAGCATTAGCCTTTAAAATAATTCCCTAAAGTACATAGAAAGCTGTGAAGATATAATTTAGATCTAGTGTATAATATGATGTGAGTCCTTTGACTTTCGTTTTACAAGAATCATTTAAGCTATTAAAAATTAATATGTCTTTTATAACTAAAGATTTCATTTATTATATAAAGAAACAAAATAACAAGCTGATAAATCTTAAACCTGATTTTAGAATGTGTAAATAGATCTATATATGTATATCTGGTCAAGTGAGGGAGTGAGATCAGGAATGTGTTCATACTTCCCAGGGATGGGAGTAGCAAATACATTGATTATGGCCCTAGTGCTGTTATTTATCAGTTTATTCATTCTCATATTTGTGTCAACCCAGTTTGATCATTTAATATGTGGTCATTATAAAATTGAGAAGAGGCTGGGTATAAAGGAGATTAGAAACACAGCTCCACTACTTAAGATCTGTGTTCCTTCCTTGTCATAAAACATAAATATTAATAAAACCTACATCATACTATTGTTAAGAGAATTAAAAGAGACAATGAATGTAACTTACTTAGCATCATACCTTTCACATAATAAACATTCAATTATTTTTGTTTTGCTTATTATTTTAGTTATAATTCTATTTAAATGCTTATGTTTGAAAAAGAACAAGTAGAAACAGTGCAGAATTTTTATTTTATTTCATATAGCAAATGAAATTAGAAGAAATGTCTCTGTAGTGAAAGATGTTTAAATTCTTAATTTCTGTCTTTTCTTTAGAACATTACTCCTAGATGGAAACCCATTCCGTGTTCCTCGTGCTGCTATATTAATGAAAGGAACAGCTGCTATCCTGGAATATTTGAGAGACCGAATTCCTACTTAAATTGAAGTTGCTCTGTAATCCTAGCCTACTAAATTGTTTGAAGTACATAACATTTTCTTTTAATATCATCCTAAAGTTGATTGCTATAATTGATCTTAAATTTTCCAGTATCACCTAGTCATTGGTATAATTGGCTTGGGTCTTATTGCCAGCCACAGAATATTTTTACACTGACAACTATTTGACAATTTTTTTCTAAGTTGTTGTATACATTTATAATGGTGATAACTACATATAAAGTGCATATACTTATTCAAAATGTTTTGCACAAGATGTATTTCACTCACTTTCATTCCTTTGTAACATAGCAAGCACTTCCTTCAAAAATGAATATTTATTTAATGTGAATATTTTTATAATGACAAAACATTTTCTTAGAAGTGGGCCTTTTTTCCATTTCTGCTTGTATTGCATATAATAAGGCCAATTGGTTTGAAATTGTCCACTCAATTTCTACCATTTTATTAGATAAAAATCGAAATAAACTTCATTTAGTACTGTTTGTTCTTTGACATTTGACAAAACAAGATTTTTCATTACCTGTGATAGAACTTTTGTGATTTGGTTCATCTTGGTACAACTTTTAAATCAGCATTCACTGTTTTCTTTTTGCTTTAATCTAGTTAGAATGTGTCTTTTCTAGCTATTCGGTGATTTCCCCCCCCCCCCCCATTTTATGAAATCACTTTTTCTAGGTTGCTGATGTCCTGGTGTAGCATTGTGGATTAATGTGCTGGACTGCAAAGTCTGTTTGAACCATGAGGTTGGCGGTTTAAGCTCACCAGCCTCTCCTCAGAAACCCTATACAGTGTCGCTCAGTGGCACTTAACAACAACAACGTCACAGAAATGGCATGTTTTTGTTGTTAAATCCTGTCGAGTTGGTTCCAGCTCAGTGGCTAGTAGATAAAAATATTGATAGAGAAAATATAGTTAGTGGTGTTATAATTGCTTTTACAATTTCGAATTTAAAACATGTCAACTTTTATGATACCTTATTATTAATTTTCCATATGATAATCTAGTATTGTTAGATTCAACAGTATTAAAGAGATTGGATCTGCATATTTTTCCCTCAGCTAGTGTGTGAGCATTTAAAAATAACTTTTGTTCCTTCAAATATGTTGAAGACTATCTTACTAACTCTATAGATAACAGCAACAGACAACAATTAATAACATATACTGAATAAAAATCTTGAAATGTACTGTGTTAAATACCTGTTAAGGAGATCTTGTATACTTAATCTGTTGTGTTTTATTACAATCTTGTATGTCTTCATTTTTAATACCTTTATTTTAAAACCTAATTGCAGTCTTGATAAGACCAAAGTTGTAGTGATATAGTAATTTTACAAAAGGGAATCTTATGTAGATAAATTTGACTTAATGAAAATAAAATATAAACTTTTTTGTTTGGACCAAAAATATCAGAAGTAGGCTCATCAGTCATTATAAAGCTTACTTTTAAGTAGGCAATTCATTAGTATGTATATCAATTTAAATGGCTTGCTAGATATATTTGGAAGGTTGAGGCATGCTTATATTATAAAAAAAAAAAAAAAATCAGTGCCAATAAAGATAAATACTACCTGGTAAGAGCAGAAATTACCTTTTTCAATATTGATAACAATTGTTTGCTTTTGGTTAAAACAAACAGTAACCTTTCATACCACAGCTCTGTGATGGATTAAGAAGCCAGTTTTGATATTAAACAAAGGACACTTTACAATAAGGTGACATTTTATTATTTATACAATAAAGAGACTTATGTTATTCAAAACACTTTTTTTTAAATACTGAAAAAGTTGAGTACACCAAAGCCGAAAAATGGCTCTGCTATACACTGCACAGCATTATTTTAGTCCCTGTATTTTGTATCTGTACAGAAAGCATCTTCAAAATGCATTCCTAATCACATTGTACACCTTTACCAATTAGTGTCAATACATTAAATGAAACTGGAAGAATACAACTTGCATTTGCAAATTAACTGACAAAAGTAATTATGTCCACTGATTTGGTAAATTTAAAATGAAGAGTCATAGGACTTCTTTGCACATAAAATGAAGCAGCTTTTAAGGTTGTTGTTATGGTCTCATACCGCAAAAAAAAAAAACAAACCATTAAGTACATTCACAACCTATGTTAATAAAGTAGTAAATATATCTTCATTCAGTTTTATTTACATTAGTATGTAGTTCAACTAAAAAGTACTATTAATTGTGATACAGTCTTTTTAACACATACAAAAAATGAAAATTTTTATATATAACTTAAGCTCAAAATCACAATTATCTCAAAATATTAATTACAATACAGCCATTTCAATTAGACATGTCATGATTTAATTTTTTTTATAAAATGGTAAAGTTTTTTATTAAAGCAGTTTGTTTTCAATTGACTAGAATATACCCAAGTAGAAAACCTTAAATGTTAAGAGGTGCCTCACACCCTCTCCCACTCAAATTTGTATGTAGCCACTTAGGCTAGCAAAGAGACAGAAAAGGCCCCAATTTATAAAGATTAAGCCTCTTTTGCTATACTGCTGTGGCTTCTTGGTTCTTCCCTAAAAGCTTTACACAGGGAGTGTCAATAAACTATGCAGTGAAATGCATGCATTAATATACAATATGTCTATGTAAAATGTTTACTAATTAATGCACATTTAAAATGTCCACAAAAACTGCAAAAGAAGTCATAAATAAAGAAACACTTACAAAAACCTATCAATAGCATAGTGTAAACTGGAAAACTACTTGATAAGATAATGGACTTTCTTTCAGCTGAGATCTCAATTCAAGTTCTTTCTCTAGCTAAAGGAGCTCTGGTTATTTGGCCTTAAGATGTCACTGTTGTGCTGCACGTATGGTAGTGAAGTCAGACTTCAAAAAGGTATAGGAGTCCAGAAACTGTCTTCCCTTTTCTAAAACAATGGCCTGAAGTTTTAGTACTGCTTAAGAATTTTCCTTAAACGTACAGGAGAGTGAAATATTTCACTAAATGAATTGTATGACCTCAAATGAAAAAACTGTGCATGTTTAGCATATGGGAAACATTTTACATAGTTTGAAATAGAGCTTCTTATATAGTAATAAAAAGATCATGTACAAAGGTCAAAAGTAATTATTAAATAGTTTAAGATGAAATCATTTTCATGGGTACTTTAAAAAAAAAAAACAAATAAACCCGAAAACCTAGTATCGAATATCTTTTTACTTATAGTTGTTAACAAAGGAATTTGTTAATTGCTGTTAGTTTTTTTCTGAATAGAAAGAGAATATATATTTCACATTATAGTTTACTATATACATCTGGGGAGGGTATATAAAATGAGAAAAATGAAATTACAGTACTTACAAACCTTAATCTTGCAAGATTATCTGTGGTGGTCTTTCAAATTTACAAACAATTTAGCAGCCTTACCTCTGATTTTCAACTGAACTTAGCAGAAATTTCTCCCTCATGAAGACAATTTCGTAGTCCTTAAGCTACGTTTTAGGCCTTTATATACATTGAGGAAAAAGAGAAACTTGATTGGTTCTTCAAAAAACACCTGGCTTATCTGTAAGTGATCTTTTTCTTCATTCCAAACTGAAAATAGTAAGGCTTGAATTTTCAAGGAGGATTTAAAGGGAAATGCCTAAACATCATAAAGCTGAAGAATTTAAACAGTTATTGCATTCCACTGACACTAGGTGTCATCAAAGCTAAAACCAAATTTCCTAGAATAAAACAACATATAATATTCCTTACAGACCTGAACAAATGCCTTTCCATACTCAAGTCCAGTAAGAGTCCTCTGAGTGAAAAGTCTCTGAAGTATTGAAAATAAAATTTATTTCAGCAGTACATTTTGAAAATAAATTTCCTTTTTAGCAAATATGAGAGCTGATTTATGTTCTGCCTGAGAGTTTCATCTTGGTTTTCCACGGACTTTGCAAAAACCTAACGTCAGATTTCCTGACCAAATAAGTTTTGTTTTTACTTTTGTTTTTTAGTAGAGGGCTGGGGAAGAGGGCCACAGAAATTCAAAGAAATGTAATGTGATCTATTTTCTCCACTTGTCAAATGCTTTCTTTCATCTAGCTATCTTAGTAGCTAGTTGACTTGCATATCTGGGCATTAACTGTGCAAAGCAAATGTGCAAAGAAAAACACCTATGTGTGTTGTGTCTATATAGAGACACAAAACCTGAGTCACAAAAGTTTTTAATACACGAAAACTTTGTTTAATATAGGAAAATAACCTTTAAAGGACCAAAAATACCTTTGTACAATACATATAAGCAGCTAACTTTAAAACTTCATTGTGCTTAAGAATCACATATTTTATTGGATCTAGCAAAAAGGGAAATTTACAGATGATAATTTAACAATAGCGGAAGTAACTAGTTTTATTTCTAACATAATTTTCATTCCCCTGAATTCACTAACTTTTCTAAAGCAAAACAAAAAAGCACATTCAAATGTAGTCTGCTTTTATTTCTGATGAACAGTTCGTTTGATTTTTTTTTTCCCTAAATATTGAGGATAAGGAGATTTGAGGTTGCTAGGCATGTAGCTTAGAGCCAAGCCACAATGGAGCTTTAAAATTCAAACTAATATCTAGTCTATTATTAAACATTATTTTGAAGATATTTGGTAGACAGGCTTGGGTCAAGGTCTGCATAAAGCTAGTCTTTCATCTAAAGCGAGGTGGGGAATTTCTCTGCCAAGGACCATTTGGATATTTATAACATTGGTGGGCCATACAAAATTACCAGCTTAAATAAAAATTAGCCTGCTATATTTGGTCAACCATTTAACTAACTCACCCCTAACGTAATGGCTGGAACTGCGGTTGCTTTGGCAGGACCAGAGCAAATGATTTCGCAGGCTGGACAGTCCCCACCTCTGATATACAGGCTCCCTTTCTGTAAAATGTTAACTCAAAAAAACTCTTACACTTCATTGTCCCTAGTTTTGGTAGGTTGCTTGCTTTTCATACCTGAATTGTCTAG